CAACTTCAAGTTCGTCTTTCTGGTCTTGTCCTTCATCTCCTCCGTGCCCTGCCTTCTCGTCTCTGTCCTCTTCTTCGCCTTCTTCCTCTTCCTCTTCCTCCTCTTCCTCCTCTTCCTCCTCGTCATCTGCTTCTTCTTCATTGACAGCCGCCATGTACTGATGAACAATCAGCATAGCGCTCTCTACATGCAACAAATCGTACAAACCTCTTCCAAAACCTTCATGTCTTTGTTGGCGAACCCGCTAGCTGCAACAACGACGTCCAGCCTGAAAGTCGATTCAGAGGAATCCTCCGTTGCTATCGTTTTAAACCGGGGATATAAGGAACTCTCATATCGAAAACGCCGCCTGAAAAATGTACGGATGCATTCAACGTCGCGATTAAAATACCTGAGATGAAATTAGCGAGAACTCGATAACGAAAGAAATAGATAGTAACCATTCTGCATTCACATGTGACGTGCTGACCATCTGAGGAAAGTCGATAACGACAGGCTCCCCAGTGTCTCGCCGTATTAGAATGTTGAACTCATTAAAGTCTCCATGAATCAACCCGGCACGAGCAAATCGCACAATGATATCCATCAACGTTGAATAAAGCTTTCCCGGAGATTCAACCTCTGATATTTGTCGCCTTTGGAAGCAGATGAATACGGACATAACGGGCGCTTTTCGAGAAATCTCACAAGGGATATGCATCAATGAATTCCATCAGAATACAGTGTCGTGCTTGATCGATAGGTCTGGGAACAGGAAAATCGTGTTCGTGAAGGACCTGAAACAGTATTCATTACAGGAGACGTTTTACGATGAATACTTACCTGCATGAAAGCCCATTCTTTTTGAGCAGCTAAGCGAGACATGTACATCCACGACGCTGATTTCCTCTTTCCGAGATAATCCCGCTTGTCCTTTATTGCGCGAAAGGATATTCGACCAAGTCTGTCCAGCTACCATGAGGCAAGTTGAGGCACGCCACAAAGGATTCTCACCGATGTAACTTTAACACCATTTCCTTGCCTTCTGAGTCCGCGACTATGTAGATATCTACACAGACAACTGAGGAACGATCTGGTGAAACATCTTGGTTAGGCTCACCAGATTCCTTCCCGACACCAATCTGATTTCCAACAGAGTGCATGGAGTCTCTCTTGGACATCGCGCGCATAGCAAGGTAATCGTAACCACCGTACGTCAACCTGTATCCGTCGTCTATTTGCAAGATATTATTGTTCGACAATATGAATCATGGAAGTAGAATCACATTTTGAATTTTGAACCTTTGAGACTAGGTTGCGTTTTGCAAGGGAGCCTATGAGTTTATTGACACCACCACCCCTCAGACCGGATATCTGAGCAATAAGATTCGTGGGAACCACTTCATGGTTTTTTGAACCCATCTCAACCTGACAACAGACTTGAGTGGGGTTAAAAGCATAGCGAACAGGTACATACTGCTGTTAGAACCCTGAATTCTTCCGGTGTCACATACCGGAGGTCGGTAGCGTCCAATTTCATCTTTAAGAGTGGTGAATATCTAGAGAGGGAACGATAAAAGCAGGTCGACGTTCAACAAATTTCTACCTAGACAGTGGAGAGAGAAAATAAGCACATTACGTCATACAGGTCATTGTCGATGTCGACGTCGAGACGGAAAATGCCGTAACGCTTCCTTTGTCTTGCCGTCCATTGCAATTTGCGGACGATATGTTGGCCGACGGTTCGAAGCGTGTTCGTGACGCCAACAAGGTAAGGCATTATTCCTTCAATATCAGCTTTCCTGAACACCTTATCAAGGCATCAGCGGCAGAGTTGTCGAAGGCTCTCAGCATATCCGATCCCACGTATGTCCTAGTATGCGATCGTGTGTCCACTCGCGCAATATAAATACATCTTCGACATAGCTATGAAGTATTGACCTCCAGTGAACTATCCAAGCAGCTTCGTGAGGATATATTTGCGCTGTTAGAAATCAACATGCGCGACTTGTGCGTTGCAGTCACATATATCGTGGAATGTCCTGCTGAAGACTACGTTAGGTATGCGCAATCTTCTTTTGGTTGGGATCCGACCGACAAGCGAAAAGAAATGTTTGATTCTTTATCACGGTTTATCATAGCTCGGAGGCCGGACACGCATGCGTTATCAGGGTACACTATCTTCAGGTTCGAACATGAAGATAACTCGGACATGCTTTACTGGTCGGCCTTCAAACTTTATCATTCGGAATTTTTGTTCACAAGGTTCTACATAGTTATGAACTTCAGGTGTCAAACACATCTCGGCGCAGTGGGCTTGGACGGAAATTGATGGATCTCTTGGGTTCTATTGGGAGAAGTTGGCACATGCAGAAGATCATGCTTACCGTATTTGAAGGTATGGGGGTCTATTCATCTAGGATTTTTAACTAATCTCATGTTTAGCAAATGATGCTGCACTTGCGTTCTATTTTGCTTTGGGGTACATTTTATCCTGTGATTAACGTCGTACAGTCTCTGACATCAACTGCAGCTTTGTCGTGGATGAAACATCGCCGGACACTGATGACGATGCTGACTATAAAATACTTTCCATGCAACTTGGCAAACACTGAATGCTTTTCAGTACCAGATAAGCCACGCAAGCCGAGTCTACATTGACATTGATACGGAATAAACCATTATCATACTGCACTTGTGCTCCTTCTAGCATGTGCTTGATCGGATGCTTGACCCCACCTCTATTGGGGTAGCAAGCCGCTTAGCATGAACGGTGCTTCGAAACAGATGCCTTTACGCCATTCTAGGAGTCACCGTCTTGCTTCCTGCCCTCATATCGTTGCCAAACTTCATCTACGTTAGTGCTGGCCACGACACCGGCCACATCTACAGCACGACTGGATGTATTTTCCTTGGTAACCAATCGGCGACCTTCAAAGACCTACACGCAGAAATTCAGTTCAACCACCACGATGCCAATTGCGAGTGTGGGGTGCACCTCACCGATGCTTGGTGAACAAACATAGCACCCCTGACATACCTGAATTTCTGCACAAAGGAAATGTATAATGGCACTGAAATAATTTCCAGGGGGTGCTCTATTCCATTCCCCACCACGTCAGGATTTTTCTATCGTCTTCCCAATCACTGCTGGATGTGACTGGTGATCCTTCACCAGTCCGTGTTTACAAGCTGCTGGTGTGCTGTACGGAACGACGTGGAAAGGAAGAAAAAAAGTTCGTTCCGTCGCAAAGCTGCAGCGCTGCGATGAAGGGGGGTGGGCCGGCGCTGCGACCACTCCATCCGACCTGGCCATGTACTGGCAAGGGAGGAGAAAAGATTTAAAAAGAGAAACATATTGTTTTGATACGATGTCGCAAAGCTATCGCGCTACGACATGGGCATTCCACTGTGCTTCCGCACTGCGAGTTCTATACACCGTTCTGTGTTGTTCTGTTCTGTCGCAAAGCTTTCGCACTACGACGAAGGGGGATCAGTCCCCAGGCCGCTGCAGTGCGACCGCCCCCTTTTCTGTTACTGTCTTTCTGACAGTAGTATTGGTCTGTCCCCGCATGTGTACGTCTGACGGTTGCATTATCTTGTGCTTCCCGTGGCTGGCCTTGAAGTAGATAGTGATGGGACACGTTTTGGCGTCTCCAGGCTGGGGATTGAGACTGCATATCCGTGCACATTACGTCACGTGCTGTCATATCGCGTCGTCCCGCTCCTCAGGGACGGGGTTTTCCCCCACGCATTACCGCAGAATTACCTACGTTACTTGTTGCGCCTCCTCTCCGAACGACTCGCAATAACTCGGCTGGCTCCGTTGGGAATTGATGCTTGCGGCCAGGTGTTATGGACGGCTGGCTGGAAGTGCTGATTAAAAACTGGAAATCTGGATTGATTGGCCATCTCCGCTGATACGGCTCTGGCTAGCGGATATCGCTGATACACGCCAGACTGGGTGACAACGTTTATGTCTGAGATTGATGTGCTATGGAAGACCGAGGTTGTCCACGAGATAACTGGGTCGCCGATGACTACCCTGCCAGCTGCCCGTTATTGGGAGTGTAGCGGCTCTGCTGCCAACTTTAGCTCTTATCTTGATGCGCATATCCCCTGACATTGTATTGCATTAACACAGGCACTCACGGCCACCCACCGACCCACTGTTGAGCATGGAAAGTGGCAAGGGATCAGTAAGGAATGGCGCCTATGTAGGATGTGTTTTAACGATATTGAAGACGTCCCACATATTCTTTTTCTATGCCCATTCCCCCTGCAGACTTGATAAGCAGACCGTTCTTATCAGTGTGGGGCCGATATATCATATCTCAGTTGGAAGATGAGGGTGTGATCCCCGACGCATCTCCTTCTCCTTGCAGGAACTCGTGGACATAGCCCGTTTTGTGCATGAGATATTTTCACTTGGGGGCTCCGTTTCCTTACTGTTCAGTCACCAACCTACTGCCAAGGCCGTGAGGGAGTACTCATAACGGGGCTTTACCAGAACGGCAGAGCGTATGTGTGGTTCGGCACTGTAGCAGTCGTACTTCTTACTAGTAGTAGACACACAGTAGCTAGTTGGATTGTGCAGCCGGGGACTGTAGTATGGACGCCAGCATGCTTCTGTTGAGGAGCACCCTCGGGCGATAAAACTTCCTTCCTTCCTTCAACAGGCGGGTGCGATTGTCGATCGGAAAGGTTAAACCGAGTAATATGGCAATAGTCCTCTAGTGGCAGAGCAGCGAGTGCTCAAAATTTCATAAATAAAAAATGCAATCCAAAAAGAGTGGGGATGTAGCGAACACTAATCGTTATCTGGAATGTGGTCAGTTTCAGTATAAGATTGATCGGAGTAGAGAAAGAGCAGCTTTCAAGTTGTAAGCGATGCTATCATGGTACGAAAGACAATCGAGGCCAATAAAGACACGCAGTATTATGTACATACTACAACAGATTCTAGTCTCAAGAGTCAAGATTCAAGAAGAGAAAATAAAAAGGATGTCAAAATTTAAAAACGCTGGGAGCAGGATTTGAACCTACGCGGTGAAACACCAAGTGATAATGTGGTGCTTACGTAATAATGATTACGTAAATGCCGAAATTCAAATCACTCGCCTTAACTACTCGGCCATCCCAGCTTAGAACGTGCTGAAATCTTTGCCTCTACATTACCTATACTGCGAAGCGATTGAAATCTTCGCCTACCCTTCTTGATCCATTATCTCCTCAAGCGTCAAGCAATGGACTCGCTCATACCCTTCACAACGTCCGGCGCGCTGGTGGACTGCGTGGACAGTACGTCGCGCACCGCCATGGCTTACACTGTTCAAAAATAACGTTCCTTTCTGATTTCTCGCGTCCGTGTTGCTTGTAGGGAAGATGCTCGTCATACTCAGAGACGGGCGTAAACTGCAAGGCGTCTTGCGGTCCTACGACCAGTTTGGTACGACATTTTCCCTCTGTATTCACGTTTCTGTTGACCAATTCTGTGGTGTCCTCTACAGCAAATTTGGTTCTTGAAGACACTGTTGAACGAATATACCATGGGAATGCTTTCGCAGAGTTTCCGCGCGGTCTATTTCTCATACGAGGCGAGAATGTAGTACTACTGGGTGAAGTTGTATGTATCCTGGCTGTGACCAGGCCATGGCTTAACGGATTCATAGGACTTGGACAAGGAGGATGAGGTCCCCCTTCGGCAAGTCGACTATGTAACGCTGGAACCGTATCATCAGAACGACATCGAGGTAAAAAAGCGGAGGGAAGAGCACAAGGCGCAGGTTCTGTTCGAGGAGAAGGGGTTCTGCAAAGAAGGAGGGGAAGGCGATGGATACTAAAATTTTCCAACGGTATCATCTGCTCGACGTCATCTCTACATTACTGATGACCTCTCTACGTTGTGTGTTTCATATTGTACTATTGACATTGACTATCGTGGTTGACTATACATGCAAGTAACAAAGCAGACGATGGGCTACAAAGAGTAATAAAAATACAAGGTAAGTATCTGACAGGTGGGAAAGTCATGGCAGAAAAACTATTATCGTTTCTTCCTCTTCAGTGTCTTCTTGTCCTCCCCGTTCACCTTCACCTTCCCCTTGACGTTCTTGACCCCGTTGCCATTGACATTGATGACCTTGCCGTTGCTCTTCAACGGCCCAGGCTTGGCGTCTCTGTCAATATCTGTGCTCTCGGCGCCGACGAGATCCTCCATCTGTTTCCGTATTTCTCGCTCTTTGGTCGTGAGTTTCATGATGGCTTCTTCGCCTTTTGTCTTCTCGTTATTGATGTCGTCCTGGCGAATGGACTGCCAACCATGATGTCGCTCGCAATCCTTGGGACCAGGACACCACCATTCGGCATCAGTATCGTCGGCGTCAGCAGTGTAGCTTTCTTCTACACCATCGCCCCACTCCTCCCACTCTTCCTCGCCGAAGCAGAGCCGTTGATCCCATCCACAGATATCGCCCCCCGCCTCAGCCCGCTGACACGCCAACTCCCACACCCGTTCTCGCCAGAGAACACACTCCATCGCACGTCGCAATCCTGCTCGTGCTTTACCAACGGCTTCCAGGGGCCCAGCCAAGCGTTCGACTTCTCGCTCCGCCTTGGTCTTGCTCTTCATCACAGCGCCAGTCTGACAGTGAACCACGACCCCTTCGCGTCGCTCTGCGTCTTTCACCTTGGACCATAGCACCTCTCGACTACCGCCTTTCGCTGTATAAGCGTCGATCCTTCGTCGCATGTACTTGACGCCGCACTCGGGCGAGCAATACTTGCTCAAGGCACCCTTTGATGGTCGATGACATGCCTCAGTAGAAGAAGGGTCGGGATCATCAAGACCATTAAGACACCTGGTTTTGTATGTCGTCTTCAGGTTCAATTGAGGATTTTCTGAGTCATGACAAATCAGTGATAAGTAAAGAACTTCAAGTCGGAAGATCACGCACTCTGAATACAGGGTGGACATATGAACTGGTCTACCAGATCCACTTCCAGTTCCGACATATTCACGCATTGAGTATGGTACCAGTCGTCGCACCTATCGCAGCCAATCATACACCGGCCCTCATCGTACTTGCGTTTGCACACGCAGTAGAGTTTGTCGTCCTCCACCTCTTTCTCCTTCTCCTCAGGCTTCTCATCCTGAACCTCCTCCTGAGCATCGCCAGGCTTGACACTGGTCGACCGCGATCTCGAAGCCGAGATTGACGCCGCTTTGCCCTTCAGAGGCACCGGCACCTCCTTCTTCCCTTTCGGGCCAGCTTTCGCAGTAGGTTTGACCGCAGGTTTCACGACCTTTGGCTTAGGACCGGGTTTCTTCTTCGTCTTGACCGTCGTCGTCGCAGGGGGCGGCATCGACTCCCTGTCGCGCTCCTCGGAAGCCTTCTTTTTCATGCTCGCCTTTCTGACAGGTGGAACAGGTGGCAGCACGAGTTTCTCCTTCACAGGCCCATCCTGCACCAGACTCAACAGTTCGTCTTCCACGTCAACCTCCATCCGGTCGGCTTCCTCTTCATTCGCATCAGGTACTGGTGTGCCAACGTCTGCCAACTCCCTCTCCAACTCTTTGGTAAGATCATCCTCAGGCGACGAGGAATTGTTCGGTTTCTTCTTCTTCGGAGCGGGGGAATCGGCGAAATGCTCGAGGAACCATTCGTGTGCGTCCTCTTGCGTCATTCCGTCCTTGTGGGAAGTGGCAGAAAGTGGTCTCTTCGGAGGAGTGAGCTTCTCTTTATGAGCGGTGGCTGACAAGGGCCTTCTTGGGGGCGGCTCCGTGTCTTTGTCCTTGTGCTTCGGGTACTTGACCTGTTTCGTCTCCACCTCACCTCCCGCCAAAGGCATAGGCTCGTCTTTCATGGGAGTACTAGGTGCTGGTGTTGGTGGTACGACACTTTCCCGCCTTTCCACTTTGATTTCGTCCATTATTTCGACTTTCTTCTGTGTGTGTTCTTCAGCCTTTCCGTAAACATGCGCATGAGCGATAGCCCGGCCTGTCTGGCTTCCCGGAGGACTCCGCTTCATCATGCTGGTTGGAGTAGGAATGATTGGGCTGATAACTCTTTGGGTTGGGGTGGAAAGCGGGATGATCGACGAAGAAACAGGCACTATCGGAGGCGGTATTGGCTGCCTGAGGGGAGGTAAAACGCTTGGAGACACTGGCTTTTCATTCGGAGGGGAAGAGGCAACGGGGCTAGCGATTCCATCTGATGACGACGGTTGGGGATGTCGGGCAATATCTAAAGATGATGTCAAGGATGATGTTGAAGCCACTGCATCTCGCTGCAAGAGCCCTGATATCGAGCTGGATGTGTTTGCATTCTCCCGACGTGGCTCGGAATGAGAGGTCAATGGTTTCTCCCGCAAAATGGTCTCAGTGTTCAAGAGATCCCTACTTGCAACGGGACTAGCGACCCTCTCCTCGCGTTCATTCGCATGTTGAACGATGCTTGAAACCTCCCGATCCTTTGCGACCACAGGACTTGGAAAACGATCCCTGGCAATCACGGGGCTGAGGTGTCTCTCCCTCACAACTACGGGACTAGGAGGTCTCTCCCTAGCGATCGTGGGACTGAGAACCCTTTCCACGGTAGAGATAGGACTGATCGTCCTCTCATGGGGCGAATCAAAGTGAGTAGCAATGGACAGTCGTTCTCTAGGTGCGACGACGGACTCCCTAGCGGATGAACGGCTCGGAATGTAGTCCTTAGCTACGAGAGGGCTTGGAATGCGTTCTCTAGCAGAAATGGGATTTGTAGCGTGCTCTCTGGACAAGACCGGACTCGCATGGTGTTCCCTCAAGCTCGGAGCTCGTTCTCTGGTCGGAGCTCCGTCCCTGAGATATATCGGGCTTGTAACACGGTCCTGGATCGAGATAGGCGGGTAGGCAGGGATGGGCAGTTGTTCCCGGGAAGGAGCTGGGGTGATTGTCGGGGTATGGGTGGTGTGTTCACGGGTAATCTGGTCAATGATGACATGTTCGCGGACATGTTCACGATTGCCAACGTGTTCGCGAGGCAATGCAACGTGTTCACGGGGAGGCACGGTGACGACATTTTCACGAGGAGGTAAACCGGCGACAGTGATTGAATGCGATCTATCTCGGTGATGTGTGATAGATGGATGGGTGGAGATTGGTGGAATTTGCATCGGAAACGAGCGACCACGCGGATCCCTGCTACGTGCCCGTCAGATGAATGCAATGTAGGGGCCGATGAGACGCACCCTGGAATCATGTCCCTCTCTCTGTGAAGCTGCCCTGTTTCCCTCTCAAAAAGCGAGTCCCTAAGAAGAGAAGGTCTGTGAGATGAGTGAAATAAGAAGTGATGGGACCGACCTTGGATCCCTTGACAATACTGGCGACCTATGCACCAAGTGTGAAGCGACTGGTTCATGATTGGATGAATGTGATGATAGTGAAGATATGGAGTCCCTATGTATTCGGGCAATGCCTTCTTGAGAAGATATGGAGTCTCGATGAGAATGGATAGAATCGCGGTGGGAGGAAACTGAATCGCGGTGAGATGACAACGACTGCCTGTGTGTCGGGATCTGAGCTAGTGAATCCCTATGCGATGGCTGAGACGACGGAATGACCTGAGATGGATGAGAGCCTATGGAATCCCTGCGAGCTCGATATTCCGTGTGAGACATGGTATCCCTGCTGAGGGCTTCCCTTTGGGCGACTTCCCTCTGTGAGTGGGACGAGATCGGGACAGAGCCCATGGAATCCCTCCGGGACCGCATGGTAACAGAGTCTGTGTGAGATGTCGAGTCTCGGGAAGACTGAGACGGTATTGTGTCTCTATGGACCAACAAGTCTCTGGAATCTCTCGGCGCGGGGATGGGCTCTCTGTGCGATAACGGGGGGATGGCAAAGGCATGGTGTTGTTGTTGGAACGTGGGCGGGCTGCGTAGGATGGATTCACGGGAATGCAAGACTGAGGGACTGGTTAAACGGTTTGTCGAGGAGAAGGACTGAGGGAAGATGGACGGGCTGGTGACTCGCAAGGTAGGATCACGGGCGGACGGTGGGAATGTCGGGACAAACGATGAAGATGGGGGAAAGGAGTCCCGGGACGACGTCGGGCGCGATGAGCGGAGGGTTGGACTAGTGATGGTCGAGAGCGAAAGGGCG